TGTCTACATTTACTCATCGTCACTCAAAACTTGTTCTTGACAAGCCGATGCACGTACTCCGAATGTGTTCCCAACAGCGACCTGTCGACGTGGCTCTTACACCCCTTTCGAATCGGACGAAGAAGAAGCAGCGGTTGAGTCAGCACTCGTGGGACTTGCGCCCTTTCCATATGGCTGTTGCGACGAGGTAGCGGGATTCTCGTTCAACCTATTATTACATTTAAGAACGCCAATTCCTCGTCGTATTGCTGTCTGTGCTCTGGTCGAACAAAGCTTTGCATGACGGTCTTCTTGATAGTTGTGATTTTTTTGGTTTGATATACATGTTTGAGTGCTTCGTCAAGTCCATTGGAAGGCATGGTTCCGAAAGCTTGCTGTGGCACCGAGGATTACTCGTCTGAGCCCGCATCTAGCACGTTCATCTCGCTCTTGTCCTGTTCCTTCCCTGATTGGCTCGCGCGTTAGCGCACGTAAGACTCCCCTCCCCTCACCGTTGCAGCACTACCAGCGCAGGGGTAATGGAGCCAGAGCATATGTACCGGCCAAAAAGTGACGACTGAACGAGGAGAAGAGTAGTCTGGTCAAACTCGGAGTCGTTTGGCGTGGCCGACCGGTATTAGTCAGAAGTCATGTGACCTGCGGCTCTTGTCGCGGTGTGGCTCAGCGTGGCTCGTGTGGCCCAGCACGGCTTCGTCCTTCTCCTCACTGGTAAATGTCGCTCTCTCTGCAGGTGCGCATAGACTCACCAAAAAAATTCCACAACACTTTTAGAACATGTAGATAGACGTGAATGTTTCCAGATGTATATTTTAACCCGTCAAACGACCGTGAACTAGATCATAGTCCCTCGCAGCAACCTTCCCACCCTTCATCAGCCTCTTTCTTGGTCGCACAGTCACTTCGAGCGGAATAGTGTATGTAAGAAGTGTAGAACTGCTGGCCTATGAACGAATACATTTCCGTAAAATAAAAACAAAGACATCACACCAGTTCTAGAAGAAATTTAGATAGTAAACATATGCATGTAGATGATATACACCGATTATTAGAGCTTGGCCAAAGAATTCACATCCAGGAGAATTTTCGATGTCTTTTCTGGCAGTTGGGTTCCACCGTAACAGACCGGCGTCCGGTTCAGATCATGCATGGTTTGCCATGACTGTGGCACCTTGTGCTCTCCCTCTGGCTTACACAACGAATACAAGAACAAGGTGACATGCATATTCAGGTGGCTAAAAAATTCATCAGACTGCACCGGAAGACCATCGCTATTCAACAAAAGACTGAGTGGAACATCCACGAACGGGGAACTAGAAGTACCAAAGTCGGCCCTGGACAAATCCCCTTTGGTGGTGGAGGCTGCACGTCGACGTCGGATTCAGCGTGACCATCTGAGCCGTCCTCCTCCGTATCGCTACTACCATCTTCAACACATCCAACTACTTATAGCTGCTGCCACATCCATTCTCTGTGCCTTCTTCGCAGCCTTCTCCGCCTTTTTTCTCGCCTTCTCCTTCTTGAACTCTGCTTCCCACTCCTTCCCTTCCACTTTTGCCGCCAACTCGAAGCCCTGTACCTCAGCCAAAAGAGACTCTCCCTACATATCACGCCATTCGATAGCCTCTCCTACTAGACGCATCAATCAGTCCATTGATGCTGCGAATCGTTTTGTATAGGACAGATGCAAGTTCAGATATCGAAGTGTTGTCGAGTACGAAGTAGTGAGGCATGCCGAGTGGAGTAAGACATCTGCGAGTAGGACTGTGAAGCCAACCATTGAGCACAGCCGTCATGTGTGAGCGTTGATATTCTGGCCTCGTCGGCGGCACTCGGAAACTGCGTCTTCTCGGAGAGGGAGGTGCAGCGAGGAGCGGTGAGCTTGGAGAGAAGAAGAGGAAACTAAGTGCAGAGTTGTTCCCACAACAGAGGCAACCTTCGTCGACAGCAATAACTAGATAAAAATGTGATCAGTAAAGACAACTTGAAGGGATGATAGCTACTAAGCTAGTGGACGACAAGCTTCTGTGGAATTATCATTCATACGACCCTTAAGGGACTGACGAAGGCACTCAACACAGATGGCGAAGTCCTTCACTTGCTGGCTAGTCCGCAGCTCCTTCGCAGTAGGTTTCTTCGAAGGCTCCCATGCCCATGATTCCGCCATGAGAGGACAAAGACCCTGCAGCTTCCGATCTCGGACAATAGGACCGAAGCGCTGAAGGAGGTCGTCGAGCAATTAGCACAGCCCGTACCGGATTACGCATTCGATGAGTATTCAAGCCCTAGAGTACTGTGTTGTACTTATCAGACAGTCAAGATCTGAAGTGTTTTTCCGGAGCCGGTGCCAGCAGACATAACAATACTGTGCCCAGATGCAGACTGACCATCAGAAGGAAGGATCAGGTCCTTCTCTCTCGCAGACTCTCCCCCTCCGACGACGAGTACATGAGACCATAGGAAAGTTCTGCAAGTTCTGAGCCAGCTGTAGCAGAGATACCAGCTGCAGTTTCAAGAAACTGTGGTGAAAGCGAGGGTATGAGTGCAGCATCATGTTCAGAGTGCATACACCGTGAGCGGGGCCCGCAATGGTGGAGGGCCACAGAGAGTGCCACTCAAGAACGAAGGTGCAAAGCTGTCCAAGGCGCGAGTTCACGTGATTTCTGACTACAGCGGTTTCGGATGACCTTGCGACTCGGGCCCGGATTTTTGCGTCACCCAAAACGGCAATTCGCACTCAATTCCCGAAGAGGCATCCCAGTACGCGACTTTCCTCCTCTCATCTCTCTTGCATATCTCCCATGTATGCCACGCTCTTCCGCACAATGTATCACATAGACAAGCCACAAACATCCAGTCAGACTAAATGATGTATCGAGCGTACGGGTGCAGTGAATATACTGTATTTACAGTAATCTGTAACACATAGAAAGCCGGAGTCGGAAGAGACGAGGGAGACACGGACGCAACACCGACAATGACCCTCACATCCTACCACGATATCCTAAAAACAACGCTCTAAAACATATGTACA